CAACCGTTTGGTGTCATACTTTCGCGATGTGGTCAAATTCTCTCTTGAAGTTGCTTGAAATTACCTTTTTGGTAGACAAGGCTCCTCAAGGGAGAGCTAGCCGGAGGTGTCAGTGGGCATTTCTTTCAGAAATGTTTTTCTTTATCAAATATTAAGCATGCCTAGATACATATGATTTCCGTTACGTTTAGGGGAAGAATAGATTTTATGAATTAATACCAGACCTTACAGTGTATGAACATATTCAGCTTACACTAGCTAGCCATAACCAGTGTTTGATAATATTATTTAGCTTACACGTGTATAGTCAATATTACAGTATATTCAGCTTGTCCATACTACAAACATGTCATTCCGCATATGTGTATGGTTAATATTAAAGAATATTCAACTTGTCCATGCTACGGACATGTTATTCAGCTTACACGTGTATGATTTATACTACAGTATAGTCATCTTGTCCCTACTGTGAGGATGCCCATTCAGCTTACACTAGCTACGGCTAGTGTATGATTATATTTTTCAGCTTACACTAGCTACAGCTAATGTATGGTTTTATCTTCAGTTTACACTAGCGTGTATGGTTAAATTTTCAGCTTACACTAGTTATCACTAGTGTATGAAATTGTATGCTATACCACCAGTAAGTATATTGGAGTATGCGTGCATGTAGTAGAGGGTTGATAACCCATTAGGTGTCGGGGATGTGGTTTTGAAATAATTATAACTTTTTCAGCAGGTTTTAAATTTGGGGGCCAAAACCTAATTCCAAAGGAAACTATGCCGATTTTTTCAGTAGATCATTTGAAGTTATTTTATTAAATTATATTTGCATGCACGTTATGGCTACGTCACTTTCCGGATGCAGGTCATCACGCCTCCATTTTGGTGTCCACCTTGACGTCCCCATAGGCAGTCAAGAGATGAATTCAAACAGTAATAATCGCAATCGAAATTAATTATACATATAGTAAGCAACGGAAACAGTATCCTCGTTATATGAAAGTAAGCGAATAGCCGAAGCCACAACCTTTTGTGATTGTTAACATCCTCGTTATATGGTGTCTTGTAGAATTCCGTCAGCTTCATTCTTCTCGGTATTAGAAATAAAAGAGAGATGTTTTCTTGAGATATAATTCGAGTTTCCAAAAAAAAAAAACAAAAAAACATATTTTAGTGTGCACATTGCGAGATACTTTAGTGTGCGCATATGCACACATAAGTGATTACGTAAATATTCCTTAGAGTGGCATTGAGGTCCCCCATCCATTTAGCCACTCTCAACGCGGTGTATACTTGCATTCGGGGATGTGTGGCAATAAGCTTTGGAGCTAATAGGCTTAAGTTTTGCACGTCATCAACCTCCAATAACTCCAAAGACGGCAACTTCAAAGTATAAGCTTCACCTTAAAAATACTTGAGTTTTGGCCGACGTTTAAGATTGATGGACTTCACTTTAGGTAATGTAATTATTTCATCGGTGCAACGACCCGCAGCGATTTCAAGTTTCCGAAGCTGCTTCCTGTGAACATCGGTTGTGAACTACCCGTCTCCCAAACACGCGTTAAACTTGGCAATATATCTAACCGCATGGACCTCAATTTATTGAATGCTTCAATGGAGTGACTACTTTCTTCATGCACCGGTTCCTTTAGTTGAAAAATCACTTCCATCGAATTACAGTTAATTAGAGGAAGATTTTCGAGATTATCATCATCATTTGAGTCCTCAAGATTAGGTTGTGTAACCTAGAAAATTAAACACGATCAACAAGATGACACAATACTAATTAAAAGATGTACTTATAGAGGTTAATTGAACCTGATTTAAAAGCTTACCTCCAGATTAATTGGACGTAGAAACAGGGGCGAGGAAAGAACTTGCAGGCAGCGGCAGGGTAGAGGGGTCACTTTGGGCTTTAAGGGCATTTTCGTGTTTTTGTCCGACCAAAAAAATATTTTGTTTATTTTTTTTATTTTTATTTATATTTAATACAATGATATATTTACACAAACTCGTCACTCCTAAGATTCGAACCTGATAATGAATATCACTAAATCGCAGTACTGAATGTCAATTTTTAAAACAATGATATATTTATACAAACTCAAAGAGTATAGGAGAGGGTCGAGTTGGCCACTTCATAGACAACAAAATTTATTTCAAGATAGATATGTTGGGTACTACAATTCTAGTCACATTATAAATATATAATATCAATATTATTTGTAGTTTGATATAAATATTTAGACAATCAAAATTTGTCGTTCAGTCAAATAGTGCAAAAGAGATATTAGGATCAAATTTGAAATTTTCAAAAAGATGCTAACAAAATGCTCATTTCTTACTTTCTTACTTAGGGTGAAAAGGTAGAGTAAAATATTGTTAGCCAGTGAAAGAGAGAATCAAAGAGTGGAGGAGGAACTATTTTACGATTCATACGTGTAATCCTAGCTTAGGAGTCACACTAATCTTCTTTGTATCGTTCTAATTTTATGAGATGTCCATGAAGGAGATTTCATGGCGGTTTGCTCGTAGTGAATTTAAGAGAACATTGATGCTCGAACGATGAAGATTTTGGTTGTCAAATTGGGCTCTTATTTGCTAGGGAGTTCAGATTTCAATTTGAGCTTTTGAAGGGAGACACAAAAAGGGTGATTGATTAATTACGATCTCTAACGAAATCCAACACAAATCAGCATGATGGCATGACCAATGCTCCAAGACTTTATAATTTTAAGATGCAATCCAATTGTAGTATGAAAAAAATCACATTGTGGTATTTTGGATGTTGGAATCGGAACATTTGGTTCACCAAAATGACACTTATATAAGAAAAAGACGACAAGGATTGAGCTTTCCAGGTTCTTCTTTGCGATGGTGGCTCCACAAGTTAGGCCGATATCGAGCTCTACGATGGTGGGCTTTGCAAATCATGGCTGCCATATTGCAAAATCCTTCAAAAAAATTCTCAACAAAAACGAACGTATGAGTATGACCTATCATCTTAATATTTTCTCGTAGTGCTCATCAATATGAACGCGTGAGTGTAAGCAGAAGGAAATTCAGACTAAAATGAGATTCCATGGCACTACAATGTTTAAGGATGGTATAATATTTTATTCATGGCTGATTACCTTATGCTGTCAATTTACTTAATTTTTTCATTTCTATTCAAATTTTTATTTCTTTCCATTTTCATTTTGTTTTTTATTTACGTGTGTATTAAAAGTGAAAAAAAAATTTATGATATTCATTTTTATTTGTAACTTGTAAGAGAAATCTTATATTCAATTATCACCAAAAATAAATTTGAACTATATTACTTCTAACCATTATTATCATCAAAACATGTTGGGAACTTTAACGAAAAGCACCCAGTACTGTTCACTTTAACGAAAAACCACATTTTTACACTAAAAAGTCAATCCGGTAGTATTCACTTTACTCTTTATTTTGTCCTTATCATTAAAACTCAAAATTTTCAAGTCATTTTCATTAGTTTTCCTACATGTTCCTTCTCATCTCACGTACCAAACACACTTTGATGATAAATATTATCGTTTATTCCATAAAAAAATGTGGAAAAGAATTAATGTAAAAGGTGGGAGAAACCCATTTTCTCTCCTCCTCCCGTATCCTCTCTCCTCCTTCTCTTTTGCGCTGCGCTGCAACAGGAGCCCCATTCAACAGCAAGCCGAAGACTGCCGAGTGCCGACGCAACAGCTCTGTCGTCCACTGGTCACCAAAGGCTCTCAAACTACACATCCAGAATGCTCTTGCCGACCCTTATCCTATCCCCCAAGTTAGTTTCTATAAATTCGTAGGCGATTTTCCTCAACTTCAAGTCTAAGAAACGGTGACCCAGGGGTTTCCGGCCAATATCGCCGGAATTGGACCTCGACCCAAGAGGTAGAAATGATACTCTTCTCGTGGGCTGTTCTCCAATGTAAGTTCTTTTTCCAAATTTTCAACTTTCATTTTGGATTGATTCTTGATTTCGAATTTTATTCGATTTTCTGTATGAATGTCGGAGATGAGACTTATAGTAATTTTGTATCTGGAAGTTGTTGAACCCTAACGATTACGTTCCGGTTGATAGTTGAAGCATGTCTATAACATGGTGTGGGATTGAACTCTGTAGAACCTTGTATTGTTGTGAATAGGCGATGAATGAACT